AGTAGACCCCGGCGTTGCCCGGGGATGTAACAGTAAGAGATAGATCAAGTATCGACCATCAGAAAGATTGAAAAATAAAATTGACAAAGATTATTGTTTAAGGTTGAGGGACACGCATGTCTTAATTAGTTTTTTTTTTTTTTTTGATTGGTCAAACCTAAATTCAAACAAAAACATTGTTTACAATCGTTATGAGTCTATCGATTGGTGAATAGAATTTTATTGTAAACAATTGTCTTGTAAATGGAATTTTTAAAGCATTCCGAATGTAAATAAAGAAAAAAAAGTGTGCAAGACAATAAGAAATACTACCTGCCGAAAAAAAAAGTGGATGTTTGTTTTATCGGCTGAAAATGTAAGAAATCCGATCCCATATATAAAGGAACACACACACACACACATAAACAACCTGGGTTTTTTAACCTAAGTCATTCCACGGAATCGCTAAAACATAGAGCATAGTCTGATGAAAAAAAGACGCCAAAGTTTATGAAAACAAAATTTTATCGTCAAAATGCTTATTTTTTTTATGAAGAGGATAGACTAAATTTTTTTTAATTATTTTAAAAAATTTTTCCATCTTTTAGAATATTCTAAATTTTGATTGAAAAACCTTGTTTCTCTTTGTCGCAACAAGGGGTAGTAAATAACATAGATAATTTTTAGCGCATTTTTTTGTATTTACACACATTAATTTGGAAAATCTTGTAAAAATAAAAATAATTGTCAGATGTTAATGAAACTTTCAGAAACTATTCACAGATGATCGAAATTATTATAAATATTTTTTTTTATTCAAGTCATCGTAGAAATATTTTTTTTTATATTTATTAACACCCCCATAACTAATTTTATGAAAAACTCTAGAAATTCGAGACCATCGGTTTTAGTGATTACAATAGTTAAAAGCACAAGGCTTTGAAGAATGCAAATCATGTTTTTTTTTTGTTTTTTTTTTTGTTTTTTGGCCAACGTACATGAAAATCAGCTGTGAATTGTAACATACAAAACTCAATAAAACAAATATATTATTTAGTTTCAAATGCTTTTATTTGTTTTAATTTGTTTTGATGAATATGGACAATATTTTCTGAAAGCAAAAATTTTTTCAATGAAAATTGAATTTTTAATACAATTATTTCTTATTTCTTTAATTTTAAAAGATTTTTAAAAATGTTTAAATTGAATTTTAAAAATATTTTAACATTAGTTAAAAGCAACATCAACCGTTCAAAATGTCCGGGTGAGATTGTCATTGTCTAGCGCTTTGAAAATTGTATAATTTGGACCAATCAGATTAGCCATGGTAATTAAGAAATGTAATTTTGTGTTTATAGTCGGACAGTAATTATCAAGTACGGGAGACCAACCAGAATACAATTTAGTTGCATTATTTGAGTTCAGCATTGTTCTCCGCTGTTAAGCCCTTTACTTTTGCGAAACACGTATGGAGAAGTTAATTTGAGTTTTCAATTTCAACTGAGAAGGGTACCTACAAGTAACAGTATCATCTTATGAAATTTAACTACTGCTAAACTTTAATTTATATGATCTTATTTTTTATATTAATCTCAGTTATGACATTTTCCATAAATGAAATATCAAAATTAATAATAAAATGAATGGAAATACAAATAACACAGTAAAATGTAATAAATGTACATAAAATTATAGTATTTTATGTACACTTCTGATAAAATTTCATAAGAAAGGTACCTAAATTAATTAGATACCTTTTTCTTATGAAATTTAATCTCACTATTAACAGTCTTATTTTTTAATTTCTTTATATTTTCCATAAAGCATCGTAAACGTAAAAATGAAAGCTAAGTACAAAAAAAAATTTAAAAAAATAAAAAATTAGAGCGCTGAAAGTTTTCCTTAAAAGTAACAAGGTAAATAATTTGTTCACTTAAATAATTTCACTTCCATCCGTAGAAAGAATTCTCCTCCCGTAAGTTATCTAAACGTCATGAATGTGCCTTTCGTCAATCATCAAGCGACGCGAAAGGTTATGACCTGCTTTTTTTTTATTTTCAAATTACATTTTTTCGGCGCAGAAGCTAAGTTAAGCTTGGTTCAAAATATTTTAAATAAACAGTATAATATCTGTTTTTATTAAAATCAGTTTTGAAAAAATGATAATTGACTTTTAAAAAAGAATATCAAAGTAAAATTTTTAATCTTTTTTATCAAATCGAAAAAATGATTGAAAATGATTATCTGCCCTTTTTTTTGACCAAAAAACCAATATTTTTAACGAAAATTTCAGACGTGCTAGGAACGATTAAAAATATAAAAAATACCCCAAAATACTTTCATCTTTCCTCTTTAATAATAATATGAACATTAGACGATAAAATTTTGTTTTCGTCAAGTTCGGCGTCTTTTTCATCATGCTATGCTCTTTTGTTTACATTTTCGTGAGTGAGTTCTCCCCCTTTCATTCTCACGATGTGTCTGTGTCGTGTTTTCAAATTGATTTTATTAAAAAAACAACTGTATTTTTCCCATTTTCGGCCCCGTTAGAACCACCACAAGATAATTTTATGTAGTCCTGTGAAGTTTTGTTGAAATCGGCTAAAAAATGTAGAAAATTCGATCCAACATATAAACGTTACAGACACACACACACACACACACACACACACACACACACACAACCTGCGTTTTATAATAAGTAAGATATCTGTTACAATGGGATGTCAGTGTTATTTTCATTTTTGCGTAATTTAGACGACAATTTATCCATCGCATACCGTATATATAAAGAATAAATGGAGCCAAGTTCGATTACCGGTCGACTTCGTTACACTCGCTTGTGATTAAATAAGGAAAAGTGCGAATTCATTTCTTCTCCGTCGCAGCTATGGGTTAAATCGTGGGACAGATTTGGCTCTTTAATTTTGGTTGGCAACCCAGTCTAGAAGAAAGAAAAACTCTGAATTTCAAAAACATGAGGAGAATTATTAGTGGACCGAAACTATTATTTTACCCTAAGGTTTTTAAAATTGTATGCAAATATGCATACAGATAAATAAAGCATAGTACAATAAAATTAGCAGTTAATAATTATCTCCGTTGAAAATGATATTTTTTGAGTTAATGGAAAACGCACAATCAACAATACGACCATTCAGTTGCAGATCGCCAAGGACCTTTTTAATGACAATGCAAAGAAGTAAATAATTAATAAATAAGCTCGAGTTCACTTTAATTAGCCTTTAATACTTATCTCCCTTGAAAATCTTTCTTTTCTTTTTCTTCTTTCTTCTTCTTTTTAAGCCGTCTTGGGTATGACAATAAACTACATCCGGGTCCTGGGTAAGACGATAAACTACATCCGACAGCAAGTCCTCTGACCAGGAGGTTTTGAGGAGCGTGGAGCCACCTCTTAATTGCTGGTGTCCCTAGGTTCATCTTGACCCTGGGTGGTAGCAACTGCCAGGGTCCCAGCTATGGGCAAATAGCTAACACCCTAAACTAGGATCAAACTTGTAAAAATATGTTTTAATTCCAAAATGCATTTTTGCAAAAAATTATTACCAGCAATAATTTTTTTAAGAAAAAATTATTAGCAGAAATAATTTTTTTGGAAAAAATATCACCAGCAATATACTTTGGAAAATAAAATTACCAGCAATACATTTTTGGAAAAAATATTACCAGAAATACTTTTGGAAAAAATATTAGCAATAATAAAAATCTTGTCGGCATGAAATAACCCATTAATGTTGATATGTCATAAAACAAACCAAACCAAACATTTTTTTTTAGTTCAATGCAAATATCGATTCGAGAATCCGATCATTCAGGGGCAGACAACCGAGATGCTTTTTTTTATTTTTCCCTTCTTTAAATTACACATTTTAAGAATACCTGAAATCAGTACCTGTGACGACATTGCATTCTTTCGGCTAATTCGAGATTACATACCATCTACAGCCTTATATAGAAGGCTGAGAGGAGCTTCTGTCTATATCTGCCTTCTAAAACTTTTATATAAGTCTATGAGAATGCTATATACAGAAAAAAGTTTCCGTGTTCCAAACGAGACAAAAATAACATCGAAAAATGAAAGAACTTTTTATTTAAAAAGTAAACAAAACATATTCACAGTAGGAAAATATATCTAAAAAAATATACTCATGGAATGAAAAAATCAGGCAAAAATAGAATCTGGAATGTTTCAAATTTAATACATCATTTAGCACCTCTCTCCCTCTAACTTCTGATTTTATTCCCCCAACCACCACTTTTATGTGGCGCTCTTAAATACGAGTTCAAACATGTGTGTGTGTGTGTGTGTGTGTGTGTGTGTGTGTGTGTGTGTGTGTGTGACGGTTGGTACTTTTTATACATTTATATATGTATGTCAATTTGTTCATGATAGATGCATTATTAAAAGAAGCCTCCCTCTCATTGCAAGATATTATCACCTGTGATGAATGATATTTTATTTAATGTGGGCAGTTTATTTTGTTTAATAATAGGTTCTACGTTTTTAAGTCTTTCTTTGTGTTAGGTGCCGTAGAGTATTTTGGTGATATCTACTAATATTTGGCTTATGCTGATAGTTGTATTTTGGTTGTCCGTGATGTGCTGGTCGATGTCTGCACGGATTGCACTGAGTTTCGATATGTGACAAGTCAACCTACTGAATAGGACATGTGAACTCGATGTAAGAATTTAATGCACTTTTTGATTATTAATGCAGGAAATACAATCTCCAAGAAACCGTGATGATTCATAAACATTATTTTTACATTGGGGTGTTGAGATGTTTTAAACTTTCAATAGAAGATGATGAATCTAAGGTGTTTCATAGCATCATTGAGTGATATGTATCGACGAATTATATTCTAATTTGTTATACACACACACACACACAAACACACACACACAGAGAAAGCAATCGAAATTTCATCCCTTTTGTAATCTGGGAAACCACTTTCAAGCTACAGGAAGTACTACAGCAAAATAAGGCTCAGTTTTAAAAAATGCAGATCTCTCAGTGGGAACTTTGGAAGTTTCTCTCTATGTATATCTATCTTTGTCTTCATCCCTATCTCTCTCTCTCTCTCTCTCTCTCTCTCTCTCTCTCTCTCTCGCTCGCTCGCTCTCTCCAGGTAGAGCTCAATGTCCAGGACAGAGCAAGAATATAATATAAAAGGCTCAAACAATAATATTCCATGGTTATAATTGATTACATTGGAATCGTAATCACGATTCCATATATATATATATATATATATATATATATATATATATATATCTCACTCTCTGTATATTAAAGCAAACATTCGAACATTAGAACGGCTCATGATCAGACATAATAGCTATTCATTGTCCGTTATATTTAATATCTTTAAATAATGATCTGTTGTCCCAAAACTATATATATATATATATATATATATATATAGAGAGAGAGAGAGAGAGGGAGAAAGAGAGAGAGAGAGAGAGAGGGATATATATATATATATATATATATATATATATATATATATATATATATATATCACTTATATTTTTATATATATATATATATATATATATATATATAGTTTTTTTATTATTTGTATATATATATATATATAGTTTTTTTTTATTATTTGTATATATATATATATAGTTTATTATTATTTATATATATGCTTTTTATTTAATTTTTCTTGTGTTCGAAAAAGTGTTTTATTTTCTGGGCACAGAGTGTGTAAAACCTGTCCAAATGTTTCATAATTCCGAACGCTTTCAGTTATACTTTTAGCCATTATCAAGGATGATTTTATTTTTACTTTTTAACTGGATGTATGAGTCGTGTGTGCATGTATTTAAAGTTATAGGGATGTTTTGTTTTATTTTCCGAACACAGTCAGCACATTGTGACCGTATTCGTATTTAATATTGTTGAGTGTTATTATGCTTGTATTTTCTACTATTATGATTCGGATGGAGTCAGGTAAGTTTGTATGTGTGTTTAAATAGGTTCTGATGGAGCTGTAGTCGGATCGGTGCAACGTAAGTCATCTGGATGTAATTATTTATGAGTTCGGTTTGATCAGGAACACAGTTTCTTAAAGGGGCATTTGAACTTATAAATAATGTTCGTTCCTTGCAGTTTTGATTTTACAGGTGTGTAGTTAATTCTTAGGATAGGGTTAACTGTTTGATAATTTAATTTTTTTGTTCGGGTCAATTGGGGCAGTGTATTTCTTTATGATATTTCTAAGTGAAGATTCATCTTGTTTATAGCTGACATCCATTTGGCTTTTGCAGAAGATATACATGTTATTGTTTTTGTCTGTTAAGTATCGTTATTATTTACTCTGGAATGAAATAGTCTAATCTGGTAGCCGATGAAGGGCTTCGGGAAGCCATTATTAAATAGTGTCTGTTTTGCATTGTTGAGTTCTTTAAGGAAAAATAGATTATGTCTGAGTGGGAATTCAAGAGTTTCTACTAGTGTTTTTTTTTTTATATACAATGAGGTCGTAAAAGTGTTGTTACTGTATTCTACGTGAACGTCTAAGAATGGGAGTTTATTTTTTGACTAAGTTCATAAAGTTAAGGACAGAGTTTTCAAATGTAGTTTTGAGAGTATCTATCGCATTTGTGTTTTTAGCTAAAATAAAAATATCGTCTATGTAGCGGACATATATTTTAGGTTTACAGACCTGTTTAAATATCATATTTTCTATGTGGAACATATAGTAATTGGAGAAGCACGGGCCGAGCGGATTTCCCATACTAACACCATTAATTTGCGTGTAGATGTTGAAACCTGAATAAAAGAAAATCAGCACATATTTGTCTATAATAGAAAGTGCAAGAGTGTATATATAAATGAGGTAAAAATGACATTAACTCTCAATTTGGTATGTACGATGATGCCATAACCATTTACTCCTACCTCGAAGTAAAGGTGATCAGTCCGACAAGGTCAAAATGGCAGCCAATGACCAAAATGATCTCAAGTCCGTCGTTAACTGGAGCAAAAAATGGCTTGTCAATTTTAACGCCTTCAAAACTAAATTTCTCTCCAGTAATCATTTGAGAGAACCCTCTCTGACTTCTTTCAGCATGGCTGATGCTAACATCCAGGAAAATTACTCCTAGCGCCTTCTCAGGCTAACGTTCTTAGCTGACATAAAGTGGAAAGACTATATTGAATTTATTACGAGGTCAGCTTCTAAAAATGTAGGTTCACTATGTCGGGTGATACAATTTTTCTCTCCAGAATCTATCTTACATAACTATGTCTACCATTCGTCCATGCTACGAATATTACTGCCACATATGATCCGGTGCTCCCGCTATTTATCTTGAGCTCCTTGATAAAATCCTAAGAAGAATCATCAGTATTATTGATCCTGACCTGGTATCTCGGCTTCAGTCACTTTCCCACCGCCATAAAGTTACCTCCCTGTGTCTTTTCTATAAATACTTTCATGGTAATTGTTCGGATAAGCTCTTCCCTATGATACCTCGTCCCTTTTCAATTTAAGCGCAGTACTAGACTGGCGTCAAGATCTCATCAATTTACTGCTGAGCTGGCGAGATGCAACCGTAAGTTCTGTACTAGTAGTTCCTTCGCTCGCACTTCTCGCTCGTGGAAGTCCCGTCCAAGTCCTTGCTTTACAGCCAACTTTAATCAGCAAAAATTTTTAATGCAATGGCAATCGCTATCTACTATCCACCTGATTACTCTTTTTTCTTCCCGTTCATTATTAATGTCACTCTTCTTAATTTTTCCATACCTGTAACTCCTTATGCCTTAGTAGCATATATTTTACACAACAAATACTTATTTTTCCACATAATCTCCTTCCTTGTCATTGCGCTTAATTCATTGATGAATATTAATCATACAGATCGCGTATTAAATAGTGGAAATTTCAGAACAATATTCAGCTGCATATTCAGATATACTTTCATTGACCCAACCCCGTAAATATGGATATTGTGAAAACAGAAATTATCTCTCTCTATTTAATATGTGCGTTACTCATTGTACTAAATAGTTTATTCAAGATAGTCACATAGTGTGATAACTACGACCTTCCAATGAATTGTCTTTTTGGTGGTGTAGATACATAAATTAAATTAATGTAAACTAACGTCAAGAAAAGTGAAGAGTGAATGAGTAATTTTCAATAATCTCTCTACCAACTAACTTATTTAATTCTACTATAAAGCTAAAAGGAGACATATTGCATTCCCCGCGACAGATAAAGAGACCGTTAACAAATAATAATGGGAAATGGCGGAACAAACAAGACAGATATAATATGTAGCCATTCCTTCAATTTCTGTGTCTATTCGTGTTTGAGAGTGTTTAATATTATACAAATGTTTGAAACTATAATCCAGTCTCTCGCTTCCACGTCCCCACCCCAGAAAATTATTTCAAAAATGATTTTTAGAAATTTTTCGAGTTGCTTGTACATTTATCATTTTTCTAATTTCATTTCTTTATCGTCTTTTTCTATATCTCGCTCTCCCTCGCTCTGCGTTTCTCTGTCTCTCTTTATTTCTCTCTGTCTCTCTCTCTCTCTCTCTCTCTCTCTGCTCTCTGTCCCTCTCTCTTTGTCTCTGCCCATCTGTTCCTCTGCCTCTCTATTTCTCTTTCTCTCTCTCTCTCTCTCTCTCTGCTTCTATGTATCTCTCTATTTCTCTCTCTGTGTTTCTCTGTATCTCCTCTTGTCTCTCTCCTTTATCTCTCTCTCTCTCTCTCTGTGTCGTACTCTATTTGTCTCTCTCTCCCTTTGTCTCTCCGTGTTATTCTCTGTTTCTCAGTCTCTCTCTATTTCTTTCTCTCTCTCTCTCCACCCTCTCTCTCTCTGTTTCTATGTATCGCTCTATTTCTCTTTCTCTGTTTCTCTGTGTCTCTATTTTCTCTGCCTGTCTCTCTCTCTTTATTTCTCTGCCTGTCTCTCTCTCTCTCTCTCTCTCTCTCTCTCTCTCTGTCGTACTCTATTTGTCTCTCTCTCCCTTTGTCTCTCTGTGTTATTTTCTGTTTCTCAGTCTCCCTCTATTTCTTTAATCTCTCATTCTCTCTCTTTCTCTCTCTCTCTCTTTCTCTCTCTCTCTCTTTCTCTCTCTCTCTCTATTTAAAACAAAAAATGGTTTTCTAGTTTCTCTAGCACTCAAGACTAAACACAGAGACAAAAGTTTTTAGAAAAGTTAGTTTGATTCATTCTCCATTGGTAGTCGAAGTGCTAATGGCTATTAACAAAGCGGATGGCTATTAACATCACTAATGGCTATTAACAAAGCTAATGCACATCCCAACTGTGAATCGGTCATTCAATTACAGAAAGAAATTAAAATATCTCTTCCATAAATTTATTATAAACTTTTTTTATGACTTTGGATTCAAAAGACGTTCTATGACTAATTCGGATCAAAAGAATTAATGTAACTTCTCAGTTTGTCATTTCAATTTTAAAATAAATTTGATTGTTTTATATATTAATGGGGCATTTGGAAAATCAGAGGAAATATTTTGATCCTCTCCGCTCTCCATGTTCCACTATAGACATTAGTATATCCATAATATTCTAAAACCTTGACAACATGGACAGAAGAACTAGAATAACCCAAAGAAATAAATTCCGAAAATGAATTATCCATGAAAATTTTTTTAAATGTACAAAATAGGTGTATACACATATGAGTTATACTAACATGGAGAACATATATATAAATCACAAACTCTCCCAGTCAGAGAAATTTAAGCACATGTAAAAATTGCACAATGTATGTGAAGGAGACGACTAAAAATGTAGGTTCATTATGTCGGGTGATGCAATTTTTCAATCCAGAATCTATCTTACATAACTATAAATCTACCATTCGTCCATGCTTCGAATATTGCTGCCACATATGGTCGGGTTCCCCCGCTATTTACCTTGTGCTCCTTGATAAAATCCTAAGAAGAATCATCAATATTATTGGTCCTGACCTGGCATCTCGGCTTCAGTCACTTTCCCACCGCCATAAAGTTACCTCCCTGTGTCTTTTCTATAAATACTTTCAGGGTACTTGCTTGTGACGTCCTCAAGAAGGACACAATATAGATTTGTGGTGTCTCTTCGGTTCTTCTTTCAAACGCATGGGACGTACGTCGCCCATCTTGGGAATCCAAGCAGCAATTAACTAAGGAGTTCTCCTCCGTATGAAGATAAGCAGAAACAGTCTATTCTCACTAACGGGCTGCCATGTGACTTAAAAAGGCCCCTTAAGGTAGCAGTAAATTCTTCCTGTTCAAAAGGGAGATAACTGTCCCCGGCATTCCTACAATATGCTTGTTTGCTATGTGCAAACATATTTACTGACGATAGGCAACTCGAAGTAAAGCGTCCACGGTTGTGGAGTAATTGCCCAGGCTGAAGTGCAGTTGACAAATTTCTCAACAAACGGAATTGACAAAATTCTCAATAAGTAATAAGAAAATATGTAAATGCAAATTAAAACTAAGCAGCGTAACAGGAATAGAGCAAAACGTTCACAAAGCAAGATTGTGTTAACATGTAAAACATATACATGTGGTTGTGAGTTCAATCCTTAGGTTGAAGTGCTTGTACTTGCACTCAATGGAAACTGACGAGCAACAAATGAACAGTATTAAATAAAATAAAAACTAGACGATAGATATCCCTTGACATAAGCAGTGGAACGAGAACACTCTACCCACGTAGATTAAATAAAGGCTTCCGTTCAGAATTCTTTGTGGGTTACCCAGATCGATATAAACCTGCGGAAGGCCTGAGAGCATAACGGTCGAAACGTTGTGATAACAAACACAAAGATTTTGAAAATATTTTGAATATATATAATAGAAATAAAAGGGATACAGTCATGTGATTATAGCGTTCTGATTTCAAGATAAGACAAAACAAGTATAAGGATTGTCCATTTTTATTAATTAGAAAGAAATCCCAGCATGCATCTGCAGAATTTTTCAATAAATTTGGTGAGGGTTATTCTTAGCGGTCATGGAACCAACAACAGTAATGAAACTGATATATACCGTACCTATGAACTAATGGATATATCCCAATCCTCATAAATACGTAAGTAGGCGTAATATACTGTATAAGTAGTCCACCACTAGCAGTGGTTTACCTATTTCACGCCGCTGGCGAGTATTGTATTTTGTTGATGTTATAAAGATTACCATTTCGAACCTCCGTTTTGGTTATTCTTTATTCAGTAACCAGGTTACAACAGAAACAAGATCTCAAGCTCGAGGAATGTATTTTTTTTTTTTTTCGTTTTTATTTATTTATTTATTTATTGGTTATGCGGCTGGTGTAACTTTAGTGTCTCTGTAAGAGAAATCGAAGAGCCAAGTTCATTATGTTCACTTTAGCACAAATATCCTTGGGAAAGGAACGAATCCATCTCTTCTAGCTTTGTGCTAAATAGAAGGTCTGACTGAGCTGCCTTACCCTGGAGTGGCAATTTCAGAGAACAATAAAATTAAATTTTGTTTGATTAAAACCCTGCTAACATGAAAGTACCCAAGAATCATTTGAGGCACATAATGCTTTATGAGTTCAAGAAAGGGAACTCAGCAGCCGAAGCGGCTAGAAACATTCACTCGGTTTATGGAGAGGAATGTGTGAATGAAAGAACTTGCAGAAGATGGTTTGCAAAATTCAGAGGTGGAGATTTCACCCTTGAAGATGAAGATCGAACCGGACATCCAGTTTGATGAAAAGCTTCTTGAAGCAGCCCTTGAAGAAAATCCTGCTTTATCAGCTGAGGAATTGGCAATGGTTCTCAGTTCAAACCATACAACTGTTCATCGTCATCTTCAACAACTTGGAAAAGTTCCTAAACGTGGAAAATGGGTGCCTCATGAATTGTCTGAAAACTACCTCAAATCCCGAGTTGACATCTGCTCTTCTCTCCATTCTCGCCAACTTGTTTCCCCCTTTTTGATAGACTTGTGACTGGCGACGAAAAATGGATCTTTTATCGAAATGTTAAGCGTCGTAGACAGTGGCTTGGTAAAGGGGAAGGACCCCAGCCACAGCCGAGAAGGGAACTTCATGGACAAAATGTTCTTCTTTCAATCCACTTTGAATTCTTACCACCTAATGCAACAATTAATGCTCAAATATACTGTCAGCAATTAGAGCGTTTAAGTTTTGAGGAAAAAAAAGACCTGCTCTAGTGAATCGAAAAGAGGTGATGTTTCATCAGCACAATGCGCGACCCCACACAGCAAGAATCACGTCACAAAAGATCGAAGAACTTGGTTGGGAGAAAATTCCTCATCCACCTTATTCTCCCGATCTTGCTCCTTCAGACTACCATTTGTTTCGTAGCTTACAGAATCATTTGGAAGAAACAGCTTTTGTAAAACAGGAAGAGGTTAAAACTGACATTTGTGAGTTCTTCGAATCAAAGCCAAAAGAATTTTACAGTAATGGAATTAGTAAGCTTGTTAATAGATGAAAGGAAGACATAGATAATCAGGGAAAATACATTGTCGATTGAATCTGTAATTAAATGTAACATTTGGTCACTTGTTTTCTTTATTCAAAATTCGGACAGAACTTATGGGATGATCTGATATATTTTGAACGTAACCGAAAGTAAGAGTTTACATGTCAAAATTAAAACCCCTTTAAATTGATTGCATAAGTAGATCACTGTTATAATAAAGCAACGTATACATAATATATAAAGTGGGTGGTGTGCGAAACGAGATCACACGACCAGAGCCAGCGCGTCTTACCCCCGAAACCGCCGACCGGGGGGGGCGTTCTTTGGATACTTCTTGTGGCCTCTGCAATTTTTTCAGCACTGTTTTATGGTCATCCGCCATTTTTGTATTATTTTTAAACTGACGTGACATTGTAAGACGTAAACTAATAATATACATTGTGTATCTGCATAGCCGGTGCGGTGCGTACTTAGCAGGGACCCCCGACGAGGTTGAGGCCCCAAAACGGCTAGTTTCAGCAGCGTTTTATTTTTGTGTGTTTTTTTGTTCTTTTTTCTTTTTGTACCTTTTTACTTTTTTTTTTCTACCTAAGTTATATTGTCAATTATCAACTATAATAATCGACAGGCCGGTGCTTACTACCCCAAACCTTTCAACCACCTAGGAGCCCCATGCTTATTGGGTATGGGGGAGGGCAGAAGTGCTAATTTCATTAGCGCTTATTTTTTTAAAATTGTAATTTTCTTTCTGAACAGATCTTTTAAATCCATTAAAAGGAGAATATATCTCGGTAAAATAATTTTTTATTCCGAGATCATCCACTAAGGAAGATCTTTGATTTTTTTTGTCTTTTTTTTTTTACTAATAGTAATAATAACCAGAAATTCACGGCTAGTGATTAAAATCAAATTTCTAGTCCCTATTTTTTACATTTATAGAAAGATAAAACCGAGAAAATGATCGCTTAAAAAATAAAAAATTTTAAAGATTTCAACGCATGAAATATTTTCCCGAAAACTGAAATACTGTTTTTAAAACAAATTTTTAAGACAATGCCGTTTATGTTGTGTTGGAATCTTTGTAAAACTTTTTTCTTAATGGAGATGCGTCGTTGATTAATCTTTATGGAAATGTAAAAATTTGTAACTTAAACATTTCATTTTCGAATAAAATTTAGTCATGAAAATATTGGTGGTTATTACAAAAAGAATAACATTTTCTCAGATATTTTTAAATAAAAAAAATATTCATTATAAAATCAAATCAGTAATGAATATGTACTGAAATATTTATTTAAATTGGATAATTCCTTGATTTTTGGTAATTTAAAAAAAAAGCGCCACCTTTCCACATAATTTCTTTCGAGGGTCTGTAGCCCACGGGTTGGAAGGAAAAATTGAAATCAACAGAAGGAGGCCTCGTATCAAAGTTTCGGTGGGTGGGACGAGACCCTAACACTGACCCTACGCACGACACGCCCATAGATGGCGCGATTTGACAAGGACTTGCCAATGAACAAAGATTTATCTCGAAATCATCGAAAGTTGATTTCGGGAATGACTCAGCATTATGACCGAAGTAGTGAGGATATGGATCTCGTAAGGAATGTATTTTTATTACATAGTGTTCAATTAAAATGGACGAGTTTTTAATT